TTTGTTAGTTTTTGTACTGAAGATATAATTTTTTTCCCCTTCCAGTTTTGGTCTGAATGAATGAGCCCATCTGTAGTAATTTCTGTTTTTGAATTCCTTTTGGTCGATAACTCGTTAGATCAGTGATGATTGCATGCGTTATTTTTGGTACTTTTAGGGCATTTGCAGTGTTTACTTGTTATATAGATGAATAGGATTACACCATCCTTCAATGAATCCTTGGTTTACGAGAATACTGTATAGGAACTGAATCCGGGAATAATGCTTTTCAGGCTATTAGGAATGAGCTTAATACTTGGGGGGTAACAGGGCAACTCACGCGCATCCAGAATTAACTGTATGTTTTCTGGCGTATTTGTAAAATGGGACATTGGTAAATTAATTCGAAAGGGAGAGCGCCAGTAATCCTTACTAATGAACATTTCATAAGTTCATGCGTATTAGGAAACTTTCATATAGAAACTGAATGTTTCATGAGTAGTTTGAAAAAGATGGGCATTTGTTACATAGTTCATTATGTGAATATCTGGTACTTGATGGGTATATATCAGATATTCATTTAATCCTTTCCAGGGTCTTAAATTGGTAATAATCCTTTTCAGGGTCTTAAATTGATAATTTATCATATACATCGGGAAGATGTACGAGAGGTAGGGTTGCAAACGGATCGGATATGGTAGTTATCATATATGTATCCATTTATGAGTCATTGAATTATTTGGATACAAATGCACATTTACTTCAGTGAGAAAAACCCATATCTGTGACCACCATAATTGAAATGGATACTGATTGGATATGAAAGAAACACATAAGGATATTGATCGAATATAAGACCATACAAATACAATATAGATATAAGTATAAAGTGAATATTACCTCCTCCATTTTGTGTTAAAATGGAACACGCTTAAAAATTGTAAAAGATTCCCCAAAAAAATTTTCCAAAAAAATATGGGTAATAGTTATGAGTATTTATTTGTATATAAGGCTAAATTTAAAGCAAATAGATAGCAAAAGTAATTGCAAGCAGTTTGTGTAGTTTTTGGTTGGAGCTTGGAAACTGTGTTGTGTGTGTACTTGTAATTAAGTCACCACTCACGCGCTTTTAGGGAAGTGCTGGTGCGGGTTGGTAATGAATTAAAACACAGGTTCACACTCTTACTAAACATCTGGATATCCGGATCCAATTTTATTAAACAACGTATCTGTTCCATATCCTATTTAAAACTTTATATGATATCCATATCTGATTGGGTTAGTATTTTAATATCCGAACTCACATCCAATTTAGATACGAATGCTGATCGGATCTGTTATATCTGGTTCTGATTTCATCTCTAATGATAGGTCAAACAGTTAAAGAATAATTCGTGAATTGTATATTTCCTATAGGTGTATTGCTTTCGTAATACGAAGTTAATTGTTTCCTAACTTGATTTGTATATCCTTTGTGTTTCATAATACCCTGCAACTTATTTAACCTTTTAGTGTTGTATCTATTTACATCCATTATTTTAAGGATTTGAACATCTGTCCGCCAGCCTTATGTCAGTGTAAGCATGCATCATAGAACAAATAATGGGATTCTATCACCCTAATTTAGAGGGTTCAGATCCATCAAGCTTACACAGTGGAGAAGCACAATACATTCTGATCAATCCACTTTTTAATGTTTAAATTTAGGGAGTTAGTTTAGGAGCAGCTGTAACACCAGATTTGGTGTAGTATTCCTGCTAATAACTGTGCACTCTATGGGGATGTTGAAAAAAACTGTGACTGTATTGAGTTCAATTGATCTTTTAGAGTGAAACGTCCCAATACCAGAAGGTTTCAACTGTTGCTCTACGTTAGTATCAGTTTGTAATCTTTATGGATGAAGTTTCCTGCTATATGCAATTCGTTTGCTGCAAGTGGAATGTAATTAAGAATATTTGTGTTGCAGTTTGTGAGATACCTTTTTTCCCCTTCTGATTTTGTTATTTGCTCCTAATCATCATCCTCTTGCAATTCATAATTTTCATTTGTAAAATTAGTTGTTAGATCTTATGAATTGCAATATTTTTAAGCTTACTCTCTAAAACCACTTTTCTACGTTTGTTAATCACCTGTTATTTTATTCCCTGTGTAAGAAATTGTATCTTGAGCAAGGGCATGATGCATTTTTTTTCCTTTCCTCATGTTATTGTACATTTTGTTTTGAGTTTGATATTTAATTTCCAATTTCTACTAGAAAAACAAAATCTTTCCGTTCATGTTCAAAAATCCTTTTAGTTTCTTGCTGCTTATGTTATAAGGTTATCAGCTAAAAGTTTAAAACCTTGAATGTCTCTTGTTGGTGCTATATTTTCTGTATAGGGTGATGAACTTCAGGTGAAGGTGAACAAGCTCTCATCAACGAAGACGCAACTTCCTTATGACTACTATTTCTTGGATTTTTGTAAACCGTCCAAAATCATGAACAGCGCAGAGAATTTAGGAGAAGTCCTTCGTGGTGATCGCATTGAGAACTCTATCTATGCGGTGAGTACTCATCTATTGAACAAGTAAATTTTACTTCACAAGTAGCGTAATTTGAATTTGGGTCAGTTTCTTTTGAAGTGCTAATATCTCTACTGTGTTTACCTAGTTAACCTTCATTTTATGTTATCTTCATGTATGATGTACAACCCAGTTTAAAATGAGAGTAGATGATACCTGCAAAGTAGCTTGTCGGAGAGAGCTTACTAAAGAAACTGCAAAGAATTTCAGGGAAAAGATTGACGATGAATACCAAGTTAACATGTAAGTACATCATATAGTCTATTTTCCGAAAGTGAAAATGGTTGTATTATGGAGCAGTTATCCTTTACATTTGTCTAATTGTTATGAGAGGCCAAACTTAAGTTCTATAAATTGGAATATTATTGTATTTGTATGCTTTCTCTACTGCTGGAAGATTTTGCCATCTGAACTCCATATTTTAGTTGTCATATCCTCAATGTTTTAACAAAAGTTGGTTACGCTTGATAGGATCTTGGATAACCTTCCTGTTGCAGTCCCTAGACAACGGAGAGATGGAAGTCCAGCACCAAGTTATGAGCATGGTTACCGTGTTGGTATTAAAGTAAGCTGCTACGACGGTCCATATTGCAGTTTCTGCTTGTTGAGTGATGAATTATCTTTCCGTCAGTTAAGCTAACTTTTGTTAATGTTTGGTCAGAATAAAGATGACAAGTATTACATCAATAATCACCTGAGCTTTAAAGTCATGTACCATCTGGACTCTGAGACTGAGTATGCACGGATTGTTGGCTTTGAGGTTATTCCAACCAGGTGCTTATTCTTTCTTGTCCTTTCATAGTTGTATTGTTGTTTTCACACTTTCTTCAGCACTATTTTTTATACTGATTCAGTGATGACTGATGCTATTTTTCTTTTCATTGATTCTCCTCAACAACATTAGAAAGATCATAGTTATGTCAAAATGGCTACTTTGCTGGGTGATCAGTTTTTATTATTGTGCAATAGAACAAGACTAAAACATAGATATATATTTTCTGAAGAATTATAACCTAGAGATGCATAATTGTGAAATATAAATCAAGCTATATTCCGCTTTAGTGAGCCCGGCCTTCTATAGAGTTTGTTTGATCCATGAAGTTCTGAAATCAATCTCGCTCTTTTTAGTGGCTGATGGAAATCATCCTAATTCTATTCTCCTTAAACTTTCCCTTTAGATGTTCCCATGGTTTTAAATATCGGTCGATAATCCGATATTATCGCCGAGTTATCGGATTTAGGAGCTTTCCGCTAGGATAAGTAGGATTTTTAATCGGTTATCATTTTTTGAGGTTTATCGGCGAGTTATCGGCGATAAATGCACTTATCGGCCGATAAGTAAGGCTCTAAATATCGGCTTTATCGGCCGATAAGTAGGATTTGAGAGCTTTTACTTTTTTTGGATTTGCTCTTTGAATGTTTACAAATTATAAACTATTTGTTGCTTTTGGAACTTTGTTGATTGGTGATTAGCTTATGTTTGTTTATGGATATTGATAATGGCTCATAACTACTAAATATCAACTTAGTAAGTTAGTTTATGAATCTCATGATTAAACAATAATTATGTAGATGCGTAGATGGTTCTTCATTCTTGATGTTATCTTATTATTTGCTTGTTTATTATTCTATTTTGACTAACATTATATTTTTTTTCAAGCTTATGTTTGTTTATTATTGGCTAGTATATTACTCCGATAAATACTACTTATCCCCGATATGTCCCCGATTTTCGCTATCCGATAAGGATTTTGATCGTCCGATAAATCCCCGATAACCGACATTTAAAACCTTAGATGTTCCTATGGTAACACTAGTCACTGCTCTACTTACAATTCAGCATTAGTCCAGCGAAGTACCAGATTTGGTAGAACTAGAATGTAGGAAAGTTAATTGGTTTGATAATAGATATAGTGGTATTGTTGTAGAGTTTACTGTTTTCTAGAAGTCTTCTTTTTTGATGTTTTCTAAACAACAGAATTTGAGGTGTAATTTTGCTGTTGGCGTGAACGACATGATAGATAAGTATATATTATGTTTATTATTTGTTCCCTAGAGAGTTCTTTTTTTTTGGGATACTTGGAAGCTTATTTTTTTTGTTCCTTCTGCTTCTAATCTCATCTGTTTCTACGAACAGCATAAAACATGAGTACAGTGAATGGGATGAAAAGAACCCGAGAGTGGCTACATGCAACATGAACACTAAGATTGCTCCAGGTAGCCATTCTCCTCAGGAAGTAACCGATAGTGACTATGTTGTATTCACATATGATGTTACCTTCATGGTATGTTCTCTATCCAAAAAAACAAACTTCTTTCTTTAAAACATGTATCTCAAACTCCTTTCATTCTGCTCCCTTGCAGCCCAGTGAAATTAAGTGGGCTTCTCGATGGGATACCTACCTTCTCATGAATGACGATCAGATCCACTGGTTTTCCATCATTAACTCTTTCATGATTGTTCTCTTTCTATCAGGCATGGTCGCCATGATCATGATGCGGACCCTATACAAAGACATATCCAACTACAATCAGCTTGAGACTCAAGAAGAAGCCCAGGAAGAAACAGGATGGAAACTAGTCCATGGTGATGTTTTCAGAGCCCCAGTCAACTCAGGTCTTCTCTGTGTTTATGTAGGAACTGGGGTTCAATTCTTTGGAATGACCTTAGTGACAATGATATTTGCATTGTTTGGTTTCCTCTCTCCCTCAAATCGTGGCGGTTTGATGACTGCTATGGTCCTTTTATGGGTCTTTATGGGTCTATTCGCTGGATACTCATCGTCACGTTTATATAAAATGTTCAAAGGTACAGACTGGAAGAAAAACACCCTGAAGACTGCATTCATGTTTCCTGGCATAGTATTTGCCATCTTCTTCGTTCTGAACGCCTTGATTTGGGGGGAAAAGTCATCTGGTGCAGTTCCCTTTGGTACCATGTTTGCACTCGTATTCCTCTGGTTTGGCATCTCGGTGCCCTTGGTCTTTGTAGGTAGCTATCTAGGCTTTAAAAAACCCCCAATTGAAGACCCGGTAAAAACTAACAAAATCCCTAGACAAATACCCGAACAAGCTTGGTACATGCAGCCATCTTTCTCTATTCTAATCGGTGGTATACTCCCATTTGGTGCCGTTTTCATTGAGCTCTTCTTCATCCTAACCTCGATATGGCTGAATCAATTCTACTATATCTTCGGATTCCTGTTCATAGTCTTTGTTATTCTCCTCATAACTTGTGCTGAGATCACTATAGTGCTTTGCTATTTTCAACTCTGCAGTGAGGATTATAATTGGTGGTGGAGGGCATATTTGACTGCAGGTTCTTCTGCATTGTATCTCTTCTTGTATTCAGCGTTCTATTTCTTCACCAAGTTGGAGATCACAAAGCTTGTTTCTGGGATCCTTTACTTTGGTTACATGTTGATTGGGTCTTATGCATTCTTTGTGTTGACGGGTACGATTGGGTTCTATGCTTGTTTCTGGTTCGTTCGCAAGATATATTCATCGGTGAAAATAGATTAGGATATATTGTATTGAGAGATGGTGATTTTGTAGGAGGTAGAATAAAAACAATGAAAAAAAAAGGAATCAGTTTGTGTTAACTGTTTTTTTTATACCTTCTGTTGTTTTTAAGTTATTAGAAACTGAACTCGTATGTTTATGTTTGTCTATAAAGTTTTATGTTTTCAGATGAGATAGTTTTGTGTGTTTTAACCAGGCAGCGTACTCTCTTATGTTATTATACTTTCTTATACGTTGGTTAAGTCGGTGAATTTTGTTGGTAAAAGAGTGGCGTGCGTGCTATTGCATCTGGACTTTACGGTGGTTGGCAGTATCATGTAATTATGTTCACACAAGTGGCACAACTTCTATACGATCTAGGGTAAGATCACGTCTATACTATATTATCCACTGTTCTCAATTTTATTTCTCTTACTGCACAATAATGCATGCGATGGTCTCTTCAGATATCTAATTGTTGTTGGAGAGATTACAGTTTTGGAATAGTGTTCAGTGTTGTAGAGACCAGACAAAAGTGGGACGAATTTTCAAAACGAACCTATTTCCACATTTAATCCTAAAAAAAACCTGTTTTGAACTTATTTTTAAAAACCGATCAGGTTTCAGCCCTGGGGCTTCAAACCATGTCGGTTTTTGAAATTCTTTTTTCGAAACTTCACGGGAGTTCAACTCCCGTGAAGTTTAGTAAATCAGTTAAACTCCCGTGAAATTTCATAGTTCAAAGAACTCTCGTGAAGTTTAGCAGCTTTACTAAACTTCACGGGAGTTCAACTCTCTTTAACTTTCAGAAGCTTTTTCACAAAAATCGACCTGGTTTTAGCGCCAAGGCTGAATCCATGTCGTTTTTTACAAATAAGTTTAAAACTGGTCGTTTTTTGGGATTAAATGTTCAAATAGGGTGGTTTTGAAAATTTGTCCGACAAAAGTGTCCAGGCTAGCTTTATGTCACGTTTGATCGCATGCGCTGCAAGAGTTAGAAAGTTACGATAAAATTATTGAAAAAGTTTTAGGGAAAACATGTCATGTAATTATAATTTGGTCCTCCTCTTTTTATCCTAAAAGAAGGGTCAAAAAATGAAAACAATTCTTCAAAGTATCCATCTATAATTTGTTTTTTGAACCTCTCAAGTTCTTGTTTTAATTGTTTATCTATATAAGTTAGATGTACTATAAGCAAATTAAAATAAAAGATAAATTAAGTGGAAGATAGAAAAGAAATACGAATTGTAAGGCAAATCAGCTATTCACTTTTGTCGCTCCTACAAATTGTATTACTGAATAGATACAATGGTTCAAAGATAAAAGTAAAAGCACATATAATTTGTTAATTGGACTACTAGTCACTCTATTTATCTCATAATTAGACGAGCATATCTGTATTTTAAGAGCTTAGATAATTGGTCATTTAATTAAATAGTAATTAAATTGTTAACCACTTCAGCACTTCTGATGCTTTCTATCAATTAATATAATGAATTTTTATTGATGTGACATGAAAAATCTTGATTATTTGACATAACAGATTTATTTATATGTGTAATATTTTGATCACTTATGACGGTGAAATTTGTGACATGATGGGAACTTGTATTTGGTAATTTGTATTGTATTTGACATTCTATTCTTGAAAATATTACCTCGTGACACATTGACTAAACTGTATTGTGTAAAAATAAATAAAAATATACAACTCAAAATGACAAAAAACATTAGAAGTGACTAGGGATCCTATTGGTATTTAATTACATGATCGGTCATCCAAATAATTACAACTTATATACGAGCATCAAATTATGAGACAAATACACGTTATCCAATTTGTAAGAGCAACAAAGTGAATAGCCCTTTGAATTTTAGGGGTTGTTGCACTTAACCCATTGAATTTTGTTTATCTCACATAGCCCCTTGAATTTTGGGATTTCTCAAAAAAGAAAAAAAAAGCGAAAAAAACCCTTGATCTTTAACTTTATCGTTTTAAAAAAAAAAAATCCCAAAATTTGTCACTTGTCACTTATGCAACACGCTCCTCCCATAAACTTTAGATTTTTTTTCTTCACAAGAAAACTTTAGTGATTTACAAATTACATTCAGGAGAGCTCACTAAGAAAAGTTTGTTTTGTGAGACGCCCCAATTCTCAGGGGTTTTGTGACAATAACCCAAAATAACATTTGGTATGTCAGTGCATTTCCCGACTCCATCGCTCTCCCGCCCTTTTCTCTCCCTCCCTCTCTCTCTCTCTCTCTCTCTCTCTCTCTCGCCCTCCGCCAACCCCTCCTCCTCCTCCGATCCGTCAAGCGCAATCTCGTCTATCGCGGCCTCTCTCAGCTCGCAAACCCCAAGAGCTAGGGTTTTGGACGCCGCCCTCTCGCTCATGTGCTTCAACTCTTATCAGGTCTCAATCTCCTCCTTCCCATCCTATGGTAAATTACAAGATTTTTTTTTGATTTTTTTTCTCTTTTTCAAGAAACCCCTCGTTTACTATGTTCAACAAAACAAACCCCAAATCAACCACATTAATTTCATCTAAATAACTAATGGAAAAATTAGGAATATCCTGGGAATATTACTTAGAATAAATTTTGGGGGTTGTTTGAATCAGTGTGGTAGATTTGAGGTTAAATCAGCAAAGATCTGTATTTGTAGGATACATTTGCAAATATGGTCGACTTTGGGGATATATAGGTAGAATACCTTTCATTTAAATTTGGAGTTTCTGCTCAACTTAATAAAATGAGGGGATTTCTTGAAAAACCTGGTGGAGATGAAGGGGGTATCTTGTAGTTTATCCTTTAAGTCTATGTACTTTGCAGGTTGATGACAGTCGAATCGAGTGCCTCGTGAGCACAATCGTTTCAGCTCTGTCTTCAATGGCACACTGCAGTGTCTCTTCTCCTGGTGGAGGGGATTCAATGTTTATTAGAGTTGGGAGCTTGGTTTCGTTTCAAGATTGTGGGGATTTGATTCAGATTGGTGCTGAGGTGCTAGAGAATTTGGAGAGGCACTACGGTAAAAAAAATGCTGCAATTTGATTTCTTGATATTTTTTCTTACCTAAGTTTATTATTCTCCTTGGTGGTGTTAGTTGGTCCTTTATTAAATATTAGATTTGTGATATAATGTAGATTTAAATGTGTACAATATGAAGGTTTGTGCTCGTAGAGAAATATGCTTAGACAAATAATTAGAAGTGTTGAATGCTTTCTCAAAGCGTAACATGTTGACATATTCCTTTTTTCCGAGCAACATAGGAGCAAAGCATAACTCAATAATTACGGTGTTGGTATGTGTTTGCCACGATCACGATCACCACTATATGCATTCTGCTCAAAATTGTGGGGAAAAAAGCCATAGAGGCTGCACAGTGCCAATTCATTTGTTTTTTTGTTTTTGAGTAATTGGGGAAATATGCTCAACACACAAAGAGAAAGAGGAAAGGTGAATAGGAGGTAATAGAAAGAATTAGAAGAAGAAACGGACTAGACAAATTTCTGAATCGAGGTGTCACGTAGCTATGAGTCGGTCGTCTACTCATGTATAAGGCGATATGTCATATCAGAAAGGAAGGTGATTGTATAATCAGATGGTGAAGAGTGTCATCATCTCTAAATTATCTTGGAACGCTCTCATTTGTTCGAAATGTGAATTTGTACATAGAAAAAGCGAATTTGATAGTGCGCTGATTAGGGTTACGAGGAAAACTAATGTTTCATTTAAGGAACAACAATTAAAGGATGAAGCCGTACAAGAGACATAAACCTAGGAAGGTTCGAATGACAGGTTAGGTTTAGCCAAATAGGCAAATCATGGTGATCTCTATAATAGGATTAAACCCTAGAATTCTTAGGAAAATAATGTTCAAGCGGACTAGAACAGTTAAGAAAAAATATTTCGAGCTTAATGACTTACAAGGATGATAAAATGAAGTGCCTCATTTTATTGTCATCTTTGTTTTCCTGAATCATTTTCAGGCTTATTTTATTGTGCATTGTGTTAGTTGACAGACAAGAAGATCTGATTATTTTGTAGATAGATGATATGGTTATTTTGTACAAGAATGAAAAATGGGAGAGGATCTGGGGATTTCTTGGAGTGGTGTCTCAGAATTTTGGAAAAAAGCTATCTGTTTGTCTAATGCAATTCAAACTCTTAGGATGATCGAAGAAACTACAAAACCAGAACAAATAATTTGGATAAAAGTTTCTGTATTCCTAAACATCTTTCCTCAAGACTCGAGCTCTGTGTCCAGTTTAAGAAGTGATAAACAGTGATTAATAGGACTGTTGTCAACATGATACTATGATGTATGATAGCCATCCATTTACACTTCTCATATCATCTTGGTGCTTACAGTTGCTCAATTTAATTGCACTACATTGAATGCACAATTCCATCTTCTTACTATTGTGGATAATTTGTAATCTCTATATGTACTCGACTAATATCACAATTTTGAACATAAACCTTGTTACTTTCGCTGTCAATTGATGATGTATTTGCGGTCATTTAGGGGTTTCCACCTTTTTTGACCTCTTGACTACTTATTTTCAAGGTAAAGGGCAACATGTGTACCCATCTTATGAAATATAATGAGGAAAATTATGTACAGAAGGGCTTTAGGGAAGAATATACAGATCAGAACAAGAAGCATGTTTGTCGCTTCTATGGCCAAACATTTTGTCCGTTAATTTTCTTTGATATGGGTTACTTGCTTGCCTTTGAATTTGATTCCATATGCTCATGGATCAATCCATTGCAAGCTTAGGGCCTTGGACCAATATGTTGTTTCCTTGTGCTGCCCTTTTATTTGAGGAGTTTTGGCCTTCTTTAAATGGTATCGAAATAGCTGAGAGTTTTGTTCTCAAATTAGGTTATCCTTTAATTTTTTTACTCTGATCCTCTTTTTTCACTCTACTTTGATTTTATCTTTTGTTCATGTATTATATTTTTGTTTAGGTGCAGCTCCTAAAATTATAGCTCTTTCGCATACTCTATTACATGCTATTCTGAAAGCTGCAGTATCATCATCAGCATGTCAAATGTTTCTCCCATCAACATCACTTGATATTGAAGAAACTGAAAGAATAAATGTTGAAAGGAGATCTGCAATTACAAAGCTTATCTGCTTCTTGCATGATGAAGCTTCTATTAGCGGCAATCAAGTTCCATCAAGGTATGCTTGATATATTCGGAGTTTTAGCTTGTAAGTATTTTTGGCTAGAAACAACACCCCAACCCCTCCCCCACTCCCCACCCCACCCCACCCCACGCACGCGTGCGTAACAAGAAATGAGTGGGGTTGACTGAGTTTGTGATCCTTGTTGGAATTTTCAGCTCATGTCTTGGTTATTATTCTACTCTATTAGATATTAAGGAGTTAATATTATAATATATATTTATGGTGGTCATTGTGAGGCCTTTCTCTTGTAGCATGCTGAAAATTTACTCTATTCTGTGTATTTTTGTACGATAATAAATTTGACATTGTTGTAGTCATCTGTTTCTTTATGTTTTCCAAATAAAAGGTACTTTTAGGTGGTTTAAGATCATGACTGAGGTTGCATAATTTATTCCTGGTTAGAAGCTCGGTTATTTGATGCACCATATTTACCAAATTAGATCAGGACTGTGTTTGTGCTTCTACCATCTTTTATATGGATTTTCGATGAATGACTTTTGCTAATTGTTTTATTTGTTTCTGTTTCTATGTCAGGATGAAATCTTCTTGGTGATCATTCAGTGAACTTGGCTATTTGTCTCTTTATTGATTCTTTATATATTATGATGGAAATTTTTCTGTGTTTTTATTCATCATTTTGCACTTTTTAGGATTTTAGCATCCCTTCTATATTAATATCCCTTACTGGGATAATAAATATCAGTTGGATTATTTTCTAAATTCAAGCTTTATGCTGGTGTTATTCTCATTCTGTTACCCATTTCTTTGAACAATAGACCCATTAATTTTCTCTTTGTTATTTCCAGCTGTTTGATACACATGCTGATTAATGATGCAACAGGGCTTTACTGCTCAACTGTTTTTGTTGTCTGGCTTATTCTGTTAAAAGGCCATTTTCTATAATCAGTATCTAGTTTGCTTATGCTTTCTCGTTTTGCTTATAACTTGAAACTTTCTCAAATGGTTACTGAATGTCTTTTCAAGTAAGTTGTTAACATTGTACTTGTAATGATTTCTGTTCTGAATTTTGCTAGGTTATTTATGTGGAATCTTGATCCTTTAATCTTAAAGCATGACATTTCAGAAATATTAAGGGAAACAACAGAGAGGCCTTTCCTTTGCCTGAAAGAAGAATTGCAAGCTCGATTGTCTTGGCGTGCCATTATTATGTGCTTTGTAGCTTCTCCGACCATCTTTTTGGAGACAAGGGCACTTTTGCATAGCTGGTTTCTTTTAACGTAAGTTCTAATTTTCAGTTTGAAGTTTTGCTTGCATATGGGAAGAAAGAGTATGACATCATCATGTGATGTCTTTTTGGCATGATATCTTTTTTTTCTCCTCAATATCTTCCACTGTTTTAAAAAACCTCCGCCTAGTCCGCTTAGGCGTACGCCTAGGCCTAGACGGTACATAGTCCACCTAACGAGCGCCTAGCGCCTAAGCGGTATTTAGGCTGCCCACCTAGATTTTACGAGCGTTTAGGGGAGCATTGTCTGCTTACGTGGATTGCACCCTGTAAGCCTTGATTGTGATTTTATGTGTCGTAGCCTAGACGTCCTCTAAACTCCACTTACCTCCAAATATGAACATCTCCACTATCTCCTCCGACCTTCAGCAAAACCTCATCGACCACCATTTAAATGAAGAGAAAAAAAACGTCCAGAAACCGCTTAGGCGCCCGCCTAGGCGACTAAGCGCTGGGCGCCAAGTCCGACGCCTAGAAGCGCCCAACGTTTAATGTAACATTGATATCTTCTCTCAAGTCTATCAATATGATGTTTTACATTTTTTTTTTCTCCTGCTGCTACTATTTATCAACTGCTTTGTAGTTTATGTCTGCAATTTATGTAAAAGATAGTTTTCTTACGAACTATTTAAAGGTGTTTGTTTGTCAGAGTTCTATTTATGCTTAGGCTTTAACTCTCCTTGAGACACCTTCCAATTCAGTGTTTAGTAGGTCTTGCCATTCAATTCCTTGTAAAAAGTGATTTAACTTATAGCATCGAGTAGGCTTTTTTACTTTTTTTTTCCTGTTGGGACTTTCCCTATACCGCCGCTACATTTTTGGGTAAACCTTCATAGTCCTCTAGGTTTGAAATTGTGAATCTACTTTTGAGACCATCTACCAACTTCTCCTGTTAGTTGTTCTTTTAAAAATTGATTTTCTTTCCTGGTTCAATGATTCCTATCGATCTATGAATGATGTAGAAAATGATGAAACATTTGATAATATTTTAAAACACTTAAAAGTAAATTATGAAACATCAGGTTTGAAATATAGTCCATGTTGCTAGTCATCATCTTGACTTGATAACTATAAGGCTTTTTCACTAATTGCATATTGTGTATGTGGTTTTGCCACTTCCATGAAGAAACATACCCATATCAAATACATATTGGTTATTTTGATACTTGACGGACACGTTGTTTGGGGAGAAAGTCGATTTCATTGATGAGTTCATTTACATCTACAATAAACTCAAAGAAATAGTCTTTTTATAAGACTTTCAACAAATATTACAACTTTCTTTCAAACAAACGCAATGGATGTTTATCTTCCGCTGCTTGCGTGAGATCTTAGCCTGTGACGGGGACGTTGATATCCGTGGACCACCAAACGATCAGATCAGATCCAGAGCTTCGTTGATTCGCGAAGGAATCAAGAATTCGAAGCAATTATCTCGGCAACAGCGAGATAATCACTCTTCTCGAGATTACCGTAACGGAGCAATCTCAAGGCAAAGAACCGGGAAATGTAGATCTGACGAGCTCCTCTTCTTTATACTGACGAACTCGATCCGATCTCCTCCTCTCTTCTGAAATTCGTGCTCCTTCAGTCTTCAATCCAGCAGGGCTTTACCAACGCTCGAGAATTCCAGATCTCCTCTAAAATTCGTGGCTCCCTTCAGATCTCCTTTTATGAGGGTGCTAGGGGTGTATTTATAGGCTTTAAATGCCATGTTTGTGGATAGGAATGAGGCAAGTTTTCGGTTATGTAACAGCTTCCACATGTTTAAGGATAACCACACATATTTATGGATGATCCCAATGAGTTCTAGAAGCCAATCTTATCAGAAAACACGTCGGGAGCTGACTTGGGCGCGAGTCACTTCGACTGTCTCACACATGTCCGAGACAACTTGGACTATCTCGGGTATTTTGATCTTAACTCTCTCATACGATCTCGGAATGAGTTGATCCAAGATGCGTTAGAAAGCTAACAAGGAGCTCTACAACTTTCATCTTTTGAGCTTCTTCAGATTCAAAGCGAGATAGTCTCTACCAAGGCCGAGACACTTGGAGTGTCTCCGCTAAGGCCCGGGGCATTGTTTCGTGCGTCCCGTCCGTTTCCGTCGTATCTTCGTCGTCCGAACTCGGAATTGCGCAATTCAAAGTGCGAAGGAAAGCCAACGAGAAGATATACAAGCTCCCATGGTTGAATCATATGTGGAGTAGATGAGACACGATGGACGCTTCGTCTTTCGTAAGTGAAGCGTAGCTCCCGATCAGTTATTCTGCAGTTCCGTTGCTTCACACGGTTCGTCGACTTACTTCATGTGTTTATTGACATCAATTAAGCTTCTGTGACCCGGATAGTGACGTTCATCGTTTTCTCTCTGTCTCAAGCCGCGTGCGGGAATTCGTGGGTAATTTTTAACGCCTACACACGTGTTAGCTACTTGTCATGGATACATAACGTACATATTTGTTTTGAAGCAATGAGTACTTACTCATGAAGCATAACTGTCAGTTCTCCCCAAAGAGGACATGATTCAGCTATATGCCTCAATGCGGCTACTGCATTATGAGTTCACTCATTTTCACTAGCTTGTCCTTCGGCATCCTCTTCTTAGTTCATGCAGTTAAATGACTGAGCATGATCAGCACTTGTACTGTGGAGGGTGGTGTATACAAGACCAGGAATGAAGTAACGCTGATATATTTACATTCCTTGGACCAGTCACCAACTCATACTCATTAATGGAAATTCTGAAAAACTATGACTTGAATGTATTGTTCTCCAAAGTCCAGACCAGTTTCATTCTGTTGTTGTTTTTTCAAAGTTTGACACACTTCATTTAATGTTAAATCTTTTGATTGCAAATAATCTGACAGCACAGAATTATTTATGTATAAACAAGGCTCTAATGATATATGTTCCAAATTTTCTACTCCTAATTTCTCTGATACTAACCATTACCATAATTCTTGTTTCTTATGAGGGGTTTCATTTTCTTTTTATTGTGCAGGGGTATGTCTTCTGTATTAAACCTTCAAATTGCAATTATTTCTTCGGTACTAGATGTGCTTTCCAGGCCAATGTGGTGGGATATGTCCATGGAAATGGGACTGAAATTTCCATTTTCCCGTTCCTACTTTCCTGTGAAACACCGTGAATTGTTGGCTATACTAACTGCACCCATCACATGCGAAAGTTTTCTTGATCTAGTTCGCCATATTAGAGAAGCTGCTGCTCGTGCATCAAAATACTCCAATCAGGATGAAGTGCATGCCTCCTGTGGCAGTTTTGGGCATGGAGGACTGGAAATTCTGGTAGATGCTAGTTCAACATGGTCTGTGAAATGCATTTCCATAAAATTCTTTGAAATTGTTGTGTTTATGTTGTTATCGTACGCAGATCATTTTTTCACTGTAATATTGCAGGTCCTTGTTGATGGCTTTTCCTGCATGGTTCTACTTTGCTGCTATTTTAATCTTTCATGGAAAAGATACTCAACAGTCTTGTTTGTCAAATGCTATATTCGGTGCAACTGAAGCTGGCACAAAAAATCTTAACGACCTGCATATGGCTGCGGCAGTTTACCTATCTTGGATTTTAAACCCATTTGATGAAAACTACTTTAATCTTCTTGCTGATTGTATAAAGAAAATATCAAGTTCATGGAGCATGAAAAATGGAGCAAACGTTAACAAGGAGCAGGCACGTGTCACCCGCGAGGAGAAGATACCTGCTTATAGTAGGAAGCTCAGAATATCCAAGGTTAATAGCTGTGAGAAACTCATTTTTGGAGCAGAAAATGATAGTGCATCAACAGTTGGAGTATGGCTTAGAGAATTTGATAGTTCATGTGTTAAGGCATGCAAAAGAGCTGTCATCAGTCAGATAGCAACTGAAGATAAAGGCAAGCATAACGTTAACATGCAGCCCAGCCTGTTGATCTTAAGAATTCCTCTGGGCATATTGATTGGATCCGGTTTTGTGGACGAAAAGGGATGTGAGCTGCTGCTTCACTATTCCACAACTGGGAAAATCCTACAAGCAAGAGAGATGCCCAAAAATGCTCCTGGTTCTCTTTCCCATGATCTCCCTTCACAGTTTGCTGGTAGTGAAACTAACTGGCCCATTGATGGAGCTTGTCTTGTATTTACTTTGTTTGATATTCTTGAGGATATGTCAGTAATGTTCTTTGACTGTGAAGATGTTAGGGGTAGTTTTATTTGCCAGATGAAAAGCAAAGTTAGTGGTTACTTGCTGAGATGTGTCAAGACATTACTTGAGTTCTTCACAGAACAGTTCCAAGTTGATGTAGTAAGAGAAAGAGCCATGGTGGATCTGTATTGGAGATTGACACAGTGGATGCAGAAAGGACAGAAAGTTTTTGAAGGGTACAGAGCATTTGTTGAGGTTGCTGATGAGATTGCTAGGAGGTTCTCAATTGTGAAGGAGACTTAAGATTGGTATTCTTGACATGCTGGAAATCATGTGACTGTTTCTGGCAAGAGGCTTTTGTGATGAGAATTATTCAAGTCTAAGTAAAAATGAGCATGGCATATGGTATGTACCTGGACATAGAGCCACACTAAAGTCTTAAGACAAGCGCAGATTGTTATAATTCAACTAGTAGAGTTTATCAACCTGTGATTTTTTGTTTACCTAATGAGAGCAAATATGATCATGTATCATGTCATATTGATGTTTCTCGGTCATATGCTACACCAGTTCATTCCTCCAAAATTTTCAGTCAATACTTGCATAAACCAACTGGGAGCAGGTATGGTACCAACAAGTTCCCTGCTTTCATTTATCTTAAATTAATAGCCGATGAAATGAGAACAATTACTTATCCTTTATTTATTTATTTAATTTGGTTACATTTTGCAGATACATCTGAGATTATTTGCTGCAAGGATCACTTCAAATTTCTGGGAGATCCTAGGCGTCGTATATATTTTTGTGTTTCCTCGCCACTATTGACCTAGAGAAAATTATTTTTGCCATTGCCTTGTATGTTTGTTTTCGTTTTGTTACTATTAAACAACAGTTGCATAGGGGCGCAAACTGTAGCTCAGTAGCTTTGCAGTTTATAAGTCAAAAAAATACACATCCAACATCAATCTAATCTCAAACTACATTATGTGACATGTCAGATTGAAATTATTCCTGATAGAAGCACTAGAAGAAATTAATAACGTAGCCTCTGAAAAATCTGGAACGAATGAAGAAACTAGAAGAAATGGTTTTTCCTTAGCATTTTTCCTGTAATACCACATCACAGTGCTTCGTTTGGTATATTCTTCCTTCAGAGAGGACCATTCGCACACTCATGTGTAAGTGAAATGCCCATACTCCTTGATTATCTGCAACAAACCTTAGTGCTGTCCATCCATAAGGGAAGATCACCAGTGTGCTTCTCAATGGTGGATTCTTTGAGTTAAACTTCAAAACATCCTTTTGGTGAATCTCCCATCTCCTTAGCCCAAAACCCAGAAATCATGCCCATGCAGATGCCATGGGTGTATTCATTCATATTGTCAGCAAGCGCATTTGCATTCTGTAGGATCAGATCAATGGCCTGTTGAATTCAAGTTGACATGCATTACTACATTGTGTTGAGTTGGGATTCTTCCGAGGTTTCATACTTCCATTACATCATATTTCCTAGGGAAGGTTTTAGCAATAAATGCACTGAAGTCATACTTCATGGAGCCAAGTAATGGAGAGGATAGGAGGACCAGTTAGCTCTTGTTGACTGACCATTCAATATGCCCACTTATCTTGCTCTGGCTATTGAGGAGGACAATCGACGATGATAATTCTTTGGTTGTTGTGGTGTACCTTGCTGAGCTAAGATTTTGTAAGAGAAAGCCTTGCTGTGAGCATCGTGATTTCATTGGTGACTAACAGGAGATGAAGATGTGGTAGTGTCATGGGGGAATTGAGCAGGTAATTTAAGATGGTTAGAGCCGGTTGAGTTTTAGGAAGCCTTCCTCTTACACCTATAGAGATCCAATTGTTTGATGATGGATTTGATTGGTTGTTATCAGGACAGAATAGCTCAATCCAGATTAGATGTCCATATCATTAAGACTGAATGGTTTCACATAGTTTCATCTTCTACCAACATCATCTTGTGATGAAAATGTAAGTTCAGTTTTTTAATTAAATAAGAAAGAATTGCCAACAACTTTACTGTAAGCCTAAGGTGAGGATCCTTAACTATTGTGTTTAAGTTGATAGCTTGAGGCATAAACATGATTAGGTTACATTTGTTGGAGCTGCATGAGAAATATACTTGATGGGAATATTTATACATAGGGTTAACAAGTTGTCCAATTCAAGCTTCTTCTACACTCTACTCCTGTATGGGCAGTTAGCATAACATTGGGCTAACTGTATGTTTTCGTGACACTTGCTCTATGACTGAGACTTGTCTATTATATTTACCCAAACAGACATTTTTTCATGTGTTTTCTATTTATATATTTACTTACTGTAGACTTTTCAAATTTTATGATATTCGACTGTGTTGCATGGGTACAGGTACGGGATACGGCAAATTTGTAAAAGGTAGGGTATGGGGACACGGCTACCTAAATATTTATGTATGCATATTATATGTTGGAATTAATAAGTTACATTAGATCAATATTGTTTTCAGTCACGTGTTATGATAATTAAAATCCCTATAACATTTTCATGTTTCTTTTATTATGTGGATTATAAATTGAAAAATCGCTAGTTTTTGAACTTGACATCCAAACGGCACTTTAAAATCATAGTTAGGAAGCTGATCCATCTCCAATGAGTTTCAAAAAGTGGATGTGAAGTGTAGGATATACGTTCAAAAAATCTATGACAAGTTTCTTAAATTCAAACATGTATTGTATAATTGACCAGATGCCCGAATAAATGTATGCATATATGTAAGGAGTGTCCAATGAGTTTGGGTATGGTTATGTGTACATGTTGGGTATGGGTACGACACTCCGGTTGGAGTACCCAGGTAACACATTATTCAACCATAGTGACCTATTTATTTTCTTAGTCGACGTTTTACTTTTTTAATTGGCGTTGATGATCGCTCTTGTAATTCATTGATTGTTCACAGTTTATATGTTATAAAGAAGGTAATACCATTACAAATGAAGTATTATTATAGTACATTGATAGATTAAAAAGATAATTGTTTTAAGGGAATAGATATATCTTTGCATCTAAAATTTGTTATCTTTATTAGAACAAAGAAGCAAATCTAAAAGTTATATAAATATTTAGATGCATTCTTCTTTTAATATTTTTCAACCCTGTAAGTTTGGCTCCTGAACCTCTCAGTAACACAAGTAACACATGGTGTTCCAAGGATGGGACCTCTTTTTTCCTCTGACCCACCATGCAATCAATGGAGCACTCCATTGTAAAGTTCTCCCACGCTTCATGTTGGTCGTTTGGTTGAAATAATTTTTTATATACCGCTGAGAAAAGATGGTTGTCAATAGATTAAGTTGCCCAACTTGATCACACTATAAAAAATAGATGGTCTTCTGCATGATGGACCATCAGTAGAACCTGAAAGAACACAACTCTTCCATATGATTTCATGTTGTAAAACTTCAGCATGCTTTTATGCAGATCTAATGCAACTGCACTATCACATAGATCTTCCAATATTATCCTGTACGTAGCACAGTACATTGCATTGCAGGGATCCATAAACGAGCTTTAATTGATCAGTTGTCGTAACTTACATTTATTGGTGGATGTCTAATAATGCACTTCAATTAAAGCTGATGCGTTAACACTGATTATGGCAGTGACAACTATGGTGAAATTTTGATTAACACAATGATAGCATATGCTTACCTGAATGTCCAAATTGATAGAACCAAGGAGGTAATGCTTGCAATCCTCAGTCTGTACGTCTTGTTAGGAAGAACATTAAACACCATAGGTACATACTGACTGTTACTTACATTGCAAGTGTTTTTTCCATGTGCAGTTGCAAGAGAACAACCGTACTGTATTCTACCATTAATCAACAGGCTTTGCACGAATACATGGCAATCAGTAGCTTAATATACTTGAAATGAAATATCAAGCAAAGAAATTTGGGGTTTCTTCATCCAGGAAGGTACTTAACTGTTATCTGTCTTCAGCTTATTTGCTGTTATTTGAGATTTATAGCTGCGACCAACTGTTTTTAAATTGATGCATGTAAGGTCCTAAGAATTATTCTCGGTCTGGTTTCTTATTATATCATTGTTTTAAGTACTTTGACAATAATTTAAGACAAATATTGTTTGTTTCATCTCTGATGGTGACACAAAATTCTTGAATATTGAGTGAAAATTACTATGTATTATACCTCATTTCATTAAATTCTGTTGTTTTTTTTCCCTTTACAACTTTGAGCCTTCCAGTTTCATGATGTTTATATAATTTGGTGGATTTACATCTTTTTCACTCTGTTCATCTTTTTCAAGTTCAATAAATTTGCAGTGATTTAGAAGGTTGATATCAAGTTGGTAACCTGTCTTATATGTCTGTTACTGTCTTATATGATCTGGTCATCTCCTTTTGAAGCATTCAGACGTGTGCATGCCTGATGTACTCCCATGAATACTAATATCATGTTTTAATGTGTTATAACTTCCATTACTACATTATAGCTTGGCTAATTACTTATTGCTATTAATAATAATGAGACTTCTAAAGTCCTCACCTGCGGTTCACCAACCCAACAGAAAGGTTTAGAGGAAAGACCAGCCATCTTAGCGTATACATTCTCATGGTACCAGTCGCTAAATATCAGGTTTATCTTCTCGTCAAACTGTACGGGCTTTTCTCCCCTTCAGCCATGTCCACAATCAGAGATCCGTACAACCCTGCTGCCCTTTGCATACCGTAGTACCCATGGTAGAAATATGTCGCCGGCTACTCCCCAAAATTGCTTTTAGAAGTACAGAAAAATAATTAACTAAATAAATATGCATCTTTTTAGAATGTGGAGAGGGCAAAACTAGTGGAATATTGCTGTTACTGTTACCTTGTCAACCTTAAATCTGTGGATAAAAGTTTCTTCTGGGTTGATTACACATTGTGAGATGGAGGCTGTTCCATCAGTCCATGGCGTTCCAAACTGCAATGCAAAGGTCAATGCATCCCTCAAATTAACTTCAATGTGCACGCAATATATATGAAAAAAATTGGTATGAGGTTGTTGCTCATTTTGCTAAGTGAACTATTAAGAGATAGACCAGTGATCAGACTCATTCAAGTTGTTTCATTGGTGTATATGGATCTAATCACTTGTCTTTTGGCTCATTTTGCTAAATGAGATGACAACGCATGTTCATTGTATCCATGTGTCTAAAGACGAGAATTGGTGTTCCCTTTTTACTATATTGAGTGGTGGGCCCCAATGTATCACACACTACGTTACCTGGACTCGGGTACGAGTATCCGATACGGGTGCGGATCCGAGTGTCCGATACGAAAACGAGTATCCGATACGGGTGCGGATCCGAGTGTCCGATACGAAATTTCTAAAATTTGTGGATACGGGGACACCGTCCTAAATTTCGACACGGGTACGTGGATACGATAATAAAAAAATATTAAAAGTTTAATCAACAATTCAACATGTGAAAGGCTTTGTAACGTTCCAACTTCCATCATTCTTCATTACATGCAAGCAATTAACAATTATATTAACTATAGCAATTTTACTATGTTTAATTTTAAATTCTCAATAAAATAAATTCATTCCTTAAAATTATAAAGTAAACTTATTTGAAACTTTGACTTTATATTCCACGTAAGCATCAAAAAATAATATATATATATTTACAGAATTTACAGATGGGCCTTGACATTCAATCCTCAAGTTTCATGTCTTAATACCACAAAAATTTACAGAATATCAATTTTTACAGCCCAACCTGAGCCCAACTCAACAAATCCCCATATACAATGAATTAAAGCAGCGCCCCACAACCATATGCAATGAATTAAACCAGAGGCCCAACCTCAAGCCCAAACGCAACACAACCCATATAAAAGCCAAATACCCAGCTCCTCTCCAGAACCCTAGAACTTCATTCCCTCTCCCCGTAGCCGCCGCCGCAGCAGCCGAAGCAAGCAAGCGAATAGAAGAGATGCCGCCAAAGTTTGATCCCTCTCAGGTCGTGGACGTGTACGTCATGGTCACCGGTGGTGAGGTGGTTACTGTGAGCTCCCTGGCCCTGAAGATCGGGCCGTTCTTCCTCAAGAACCGCAGGTGCGATCTGGCCCTTCTTCCATCTTTTCTTTCTTTATTTTTTTGGTTTTGTCGATTCACACACCTCGCCGTATCCGAGTGCCAACCACTGTATCCGACCCGTATTTCGTACGCGGATCCGTGTCGGGTCGTATCGACGCCGGTACGGCGGTCAAACCGCCGTGTCCGAGTAACGTAGATCACACATGCATACCATCAGTTATGATTTAGACTATAGTGGTCTAGATGTGTGTCGCAGCGCCACAACAGCCTACATCGTGGAGAGGACACTAACCTCTGGTTACTATGTGTGCATGTGCACACATGCACGTATGTCTGTGTGTATGTGTATACACGTGTGTGTGTGTCTGTCTGGGATAGAAGAGAAAAAAGGCAGATTATATTAGAGGGATAGAGATAAAATTTAAACACAAACATGCTCAACAAGCACTAACTGTGAGTGGTTAGCTGGAACATGTTATAGAATTCGGTCCCTCTCGATTGCCATCCAATTTAGCACTGTAGAGACCTCTTTTTCGAACATAATCCTCTACTTTATCTAGTAACATTTAGATAGTTGTAGAATATAAGTAGCACTATATCTCTTATTATTCTCAATTTTCATTCAAAACGAATTATAATTGTGAATATTATGTTATTAATAGAAAACATTATGTACCTGTCTAATACCATGCCAACAATTCCCCCAGTGTCAAACGCATTCTTAACGTCAACCACAATAGTATCTTTGCCCTTATCATTGCTCCTGGAAACTGGCCGTTAATTATTATCATAAAATTTCCTCACAATCCGCCAACCAAAGTATATAGCCCACCTCCCATTTGAAATACCTAGCCTTTGAAGCCAAGAAACTCTCAGTGACAATATACACAACAGAAACATAAGAATCTTGGTTGCCGTCTTTTGCAATAATATAAAATATTTGATGAGAAAGAGGAAAAATGGATTATTGAGTTAGTAAGAGCAGGTGACCTAGGTACACGCGTGCAACGTACACATGTTAGAAAGTTAATTTTAGCAAAGTGGGCACTTTTAGTATGTATGGAGATTTGCAATTTTGTGGACACTCACATATGTTCTCCATTCCCTGTCACCTTAGGCATTTTCAGTGTGTTAAATTAGTCTTACATAGCCTGTCATTGCATTATTAAGATTTTATAGACTTGGACTACTTTTGGATTAGTATATAATTCCTTGTACTGCATGAGTCCAAAAATAGACATCTTTTATGCACCATTAGTATAATGAACCAGAATCTTACATACTCAAGAAACATGAGAATCTTGATTGTCAAAGTATCAAATGAGAACGAGATTGAGAGAGAGGTATTGAGTTCTGAGAGGAGATGCGCTACAGCTACTTATGTGTAGGAAGTTTGCTTTAGCAAAGTTGGTGGATTTTGCATGTATGGGGTTTGCAAGCTTGTGTGGACATTTGCATACTCTCCATTCCCTATCACCTCAGTCATTTTCTATATGTGAACTTACTTTAAAGTTTAACTTACCTTAAAGTAGCTTCTTTGCATAATTGAGATCTGTTGTCGACTGTGTCATATAGTAGGAAACAGGAGAAATAGATCACGAGGGCCAGTTATTGCAAAAACTACTAGATTTTATGAAAGGTTCCTTGTGTATGAGTTTGAACGGAGATGCAACTTCTGTAGGGGTCGAATGGACAACTGCATGTTTCATGTTCTGGATTAATCCACAATTAAGCGCATGGTTTAACAGATAACCATATATGGTTGCAGACAAATGGACCTAATAATATAGAAGCTCATTTTATGGTTTAACAGATAACCATATATGATTGCAGACAAATGGACCTAATAATATAGAAGCTCATTTTATATATGCGTAAACGTGAGCTGGTGTATTACATTATATTGTCTGCGTGTTGCAATGTTGATACATTAATCATTCAGCTGCTTAGTCATGATCTAGGTATATTCATGATATAAGCTGTAAGGACTTGTATGTATACGTGTTAACATTACATCAGTCAAGGAACTGTAGTGATTCAGTAGCCTGTTTATCCTGTAGATTTAACATCGGGTGTCACTGCACATTAAAATTTGAAGAATCATATTAGCAAGTCAAGTTAATATTGCCAAACTGATCCTTAGTTACACACTGAATGGAGGAGTTATCACAAGTTACTCCCAGTTTCTATTGGCCTAATCATGACATTTTCCTATATCTTTTGAAGTTGTAAATTATGTTAGATCTCCATCATAAAACTTGAGATCTAAAACCATATAGCCATGATTAATTCAAAGAGATTAACAAGGATCTAAAAGAGCGGAAGCTTATACCTGAATCCATTGCTTGATCTTGATTTTGGGTTTTGGATCTTCTAACCTTAGGGTTCTCTCTAAAACCGAATTTCTCTAGCTAGATGGGGGTGTAGAGAATTAGAGAATGTAACCCTAGGTTAGGGACCATAACCCCTTATTTATAGATGTTATACTTTTGTAATTTAGCCCCTCAATAAATTACAATTACAACCTGGTATCTGCACATATAACCCCATGACTTATTTAAATACCAAATTAACCCAACTTAATTGATCACTTCAGTGGGTTATCCTGAAAGATAGCAATACACATTGATTAATCATATGTGCCCACAAATAGATTTATTAGATTAAATCCAACAATCTCCCACTTGGGCACCATATGATTCCTTAAATTGTGTATAACCTTATGAGCTCAAAAATTGCTATCACTGAAAATGTATTTCCGAACAATCTCGTCCATTGACTATATCAATATAGGATCAAAGCGGCCTTCGTCACATTTATCGTGACTCGACCCATCAATGGTCACATATACCAATACAATCAAACGACATAGATCAATCATGGATGTGCAGCATAAAAATTACATGCAATGTGATCAGTACATGTCTATTTTCAACTGGTCCTCCTTAGTGAGGTCAAAACCAAACATAATGTAACAGAGTGTCTTAACTGAAAACTTTATTCTGATCAGACAATACAAACAAACATAAAGCACCACAAATACAAACTCCCACTAAAACATAATATCCTCAAATAATACCACACCCATATGAGCAGTATGCTCATGAAAGACCTTAGGTGGCAATCCCTTAGTAAGAGGATCAGCTATCATGGAGTTTGTCCCAATGTGCTCTATGGATATCTGTCCACTCTGTACCCTTTCTTTCACAACCAGGAACTTAATGTCAATATGTTTTGACTTAGTTGAGCTCCTGTTGTTATTGGAATACATTACTGCAGATTTATTGTCACAATATAACCTTAGTGGTCTTTCAACATTTTCCAAAATGCGCAGTCCCGTGACAAAATTTCGCAGCCATATTCCCTGATTGGATGCCTCATAGCAAGCTACAAATTCTGCTGCCATAGTGGAGGAAGCTACTAGTGTTTGTTTGACACTTTTCCATGATATAGCTCCTCCTGCTAACATATAAATGTAGCCTGATGTAGACTTCCTGCTATCTTGGCATCCAGCAAAATCAGAGTCCGAATACCCAATGACCTCTAATTTCTCTGATTTTCTGTATGTGAGCATGTAATCTTTTGTTTTCTGAAGATACCTCATAACCCTTTTGACTGCTATCCAATGATCCATACCAGGGTTGCTTAAGTATCTGCCTAACATCCCAACAATGTACGCAATATCCGGACGCGTACATACCTGAGCATACATTAGACTTCCTACAGCCGAAGCATAAGGAATCTTCTGCATTTCCTGAATTTCAAGGTTACCTTTAGGGCACTGATTGAGACTAAACTTGTCTCCTTTAGCAACAGGGGTGTCACCTGGTCTGCAATCTTGCATGCCAAACCTTTTAAGTACCTTATCGATATAGCTCTTTTGTGATAATCCAAGAATACCCCGAGAGCGATCTCGATGTATCTGGATCCCTAATATAAAAGAGGCGTCCCCAAGATCTTTCATCTCAAAATTCTTTGATAGAAATCTCTTGGTTTCGTGCAACATGCCTATATCATTAGTGGCAAGCAAGATGTCATCCACATACAGAACCAGAAAAATATACTTACTCCCACTGAACTTGTGATATACACAGTCATCAACAATGTTCATCTCAAAACCGAACGAGATAACTATTTGTTGAAACTTATGATACCATTGACGAGGAGCTTGCTTGAGTCCATAGATGGATTTCCTTAATTTGCAAACCATATTCTTTGGGTCTCCTGACACAAAGTTTTCTGGTTGCACCATATAAATCATCTCATCAATGTCTCCATTGAGAAATGCAGTCTTAACATCCATCTGATGTAACTCAAGATCATAATGAGCAACAAGTGCCATGATTATTCTGAAAGAGTCTTTCGATGAAACCGGAGAGAAAGTCTCTGTATAATCAATGCCTTCCTTTTGAGTATAGCCTTTAGCCACAAGACGCGCCTTATACCTCTCCACATTACCGTTTGCATCCCGCTTGGTTTTAAAAATCCATTTACAACCAATTGGTTTTGCACCTTCTGGCAATGGGACAAGTTCCCAAACCTTATTGTCTTGCATAGACTTATACTCTTCATTCATGGCATCAATCCACTGTTGAGAGTTAGAACTTTTCATGGCCTGAGAGAAGTTGATTGGATCATCTTCTAACATTCCACTACTTTCCTCATGTTCTTGGAGAAATACAATATAATCATCCGGAATAGCATTTCTCCTTTCTCTCGTGGATCTCCTTAATGGCACTGGTTCTTGAGGTTGTTGAGTTTGTTCTTCTGGAACAGGGAGTTGTTCAACATTATCATCTTGAGGTTCCGGATTTACTTCTTGAGCAACAACAGGTATAGGAACCTGAATATTGTCAAAAGTAACTGTATGGATTGGATCTGAAGCCAATTCCTCCTCAAAACTAATGTCTCTAACCTTATTTCTCCCCCCAAACTCAACATCCTCAAAGAATGTTGCTGTTCCCGTCTCAAAAATATTCCTTATAGTGGGATCATAAAACTTATAGCCCCTAGAGCGATCAGGGTACCCAATAAAGTAGCTGCTAACTGTTTTGGAGTCCAATTTCTTTTCATTTGGCCTATAAGGCCTTGCCTCAGCTGGACATCCCCAAATATGTAAATGCTTTAAACTGGGCTTTCGACCAGTCCAAAGCTCATAAGGTGTTTTAGCAACTGCTTTACTTGGTACTCTATTCAGAATGTAAGCTGCTGTCTTAAGTGCTTCTCCCCAGAGTGACTCTGGTAAAGAAGAATGAGCAATCATACTTCTTACCATATCCTTAAGAGTCCTGTTTCGTCTTTCAGCTACACCATTCATGCTAGGTGAACCCGGCATAGTGTACTGTGGGACGATACCGCATTCCTCTAGGTATCTAGCAAATGGTCCTGGACGTTGTTCACCTGAACCATCATATCTACCGTAGTACTCACCACCACGATCAGATCTGACGGTTTTAATTCTTCTGTTGAGTTGATTCTCAACTTCAGCTTTATAGGCTTTGAACATGTCCAGAGACTCAGATTTTTCATGAATAAGATATAGGTGCCCATAACGTGAGTAATCGTCTATGAATGATATAAAATATTGTTGACCATTCCAGGATTCCGTAGGGAATGGCCCACAAATATCCGTATGTATCAATTCTAAGACATCCGAAGATCTGTTGGCACCTAATCTCTTCACTTTGGTCTGTTTTCCCTTGATACATTCAACACATACGTCGAAGTCCGAAAAATCAAGGGAATCCAAAATGCCATCAGACACAAGACGCTCAACTCTACCTTTTGAGATATGACCTAAGCGCTTATGCCATAATGTCGCCGAATTTTCCTTATTTAATTTACGCTTAGTACCACGTGATTCCACATGCAAGGATTCATTGTAAGAAGCAATTGTATCAAGCAAATATAGGTTGTCATAAATACTCAAGTAACCGGTTCCCACAACATTTGAATTAA